TTTCAGCCACAATTAACCCTAATACAAATGTTTTTCTCCTATGTTTTAATAATGGAGTACCATTAGCATCTGTCAACTTTGATAAGTAGTTTATTATTTGATCAAAAATTGAATTCCAATAAGGATAATCGTTTAAAAAAAGAGCTTTCTTATATGATTTTGAAAAAAGATTTTTAGAGTTCAGCATATCAAATAATTTGTCAATGACTCTTATAAAATTTATAAGAGTCATTGACTGAAGTTCCTTCAGCAAACTTGAAATTTGGATGTTTGGAAAACATCAGAAATTCAATTGCATCTGCAACTGAACTACTAAGTGTTTGTGCAGCAAACTTAACATTCATTTTGTGACGTTGGAAATAAATATGTTTTATTGAGATTTTATTTGCAAATTTCAATCCTTCCTCTTCTTGTAATTCATATAAAGCTTTTATATAACTCCATTTAATGTATTTTCCATCACAATCCTTAAGTACCTCTAAATCACATAACGCATTTCTAGCTAATTTTAGCATATGACTTGGGTCAGGGATTACATACAAGTAGTGATTATAGCCTTCAAAAGTAAATCTTCCATTAATTTTTTCTAATCTTTTCCCAAATGTACATCCTAGTGATTCAACAGAATTAAAGTTAACATTTACACCATCAAATGTAATGCTACGTACATTAATTTTTTTATCAGAAGAAATTGTTAATGCATTTTTAATAAGACATGAAAGGTTTTCAGCTGTTAATTTACTCCACAGTATATAGCCAATAGGTGTTTTCCAATGACCTCGTAATCCTAACAGCATAATTACCAATGCTTCTGTAGCTGGTGTATCTGGTTCAATTGCAACAATATCTTTTCCATAATCTGTAAAGCCAATGAATTGACCTGTTTTTTTATCATTTAGAACTGATGTTTTGATTGCCATTGCATCTATAATTAATGCACAATCTTTATAATTAATGTCAGTACATGCTTTTATACTTATATAACTTAAAACATCTTCAAAAAAACCAGGTTCACAATCTACAGAAGAAGTCCAGTTGGCTAAAGAGCTTGAAGCAGGTAAATGCAGTATAGGCCGTAGAAAATTGTATGCTTTAGGTGAGTAAAAATGCAAAGTTATTGCAAATTTCTTTATTTAATCAGTATACCTATGCCCTTTTGGAAGTGAAGTATTGTTTTTAAACTGATTTTTTATAATATCAAAAGTCAATCCACTCAAGTTTTTACAAAGAACATTAGCAGCATCTTCAGAAACAATCTTTTTTTTGCTTAGATTTTTTAGCATAACCTTTAATAAATTTATTTATTTTTCTTTTCGTCGCAACTTTTGTTTAAGAGTTTTAATTTTTGCTTTTAATTTTGCTTTAACTTGGTCTTCCATTTATTGAAAATGTACTTTTAGAAATAATGGCATCATCATTAATAATTTTGTTACTACTTTTGATAATATTAAAGGTACTACTTATATCCACCTGGCAATCAATATTTTCTGTTGTTTCTGTAATAACGCTATTAATATAAATTTCGTTACTATTAGCAGCAACATTATTGTTATCACTTAAATCCGATTGGAAATCAATGTGATGGTGACTGCCTGTTTCTGAAATTTTTTTAATGAGTCTCTTTTTATTTGTTTGTGGCGATATAGAATTAAACTTTCTTTTAACTTTTGGTTTGGAATCAATAAAAATAGATGGCATAGCAAAAGGTTTTAAGGTGGTACTAAAGCATTAAAATCATAAAAAAAACGATTTTGGGATTTTTATTTCAATATATGTAGAATTCAATGCTGGTTTCAAATATGTATTACTTTGATATGTTTTTTTAATAGTATTAGGAGATATAAGGTTTTTAAAAAACCAGGTATAATTTTAATCGCTTAGCAACGCCTTAGCAACGCCAAGCAAGATTTGGTTTTGCCCAAAAATTTAGTTATATATCCATGTTTTTAAACAGGGGGTCGCATTGAATCTTACAAATAAGTTTTTTTTTGATAAAATGTCTTAATTCCATTAGCTAAAATCACATTATTTTCATTAAATCACGACTGCAAATTTCAAATTTTAAAGTGAAGTAGACACTTAACTACAAATACAATTATTGATTGTTTGGTGCTGTTCCTTATTTATTTATTTTATTTAGAATTATAAAAACATTTATTAAGTATATTAGTTGGTTTTTAAAAATGCCAAAGTCTTTAAAAGCAAAGAAAAAGATGAAGTTTAAAGGTAACAGATTCACAAAAAACAACAAGCTTGATGATAAAACCATGCAAATCGAAAAACCTTGTTCAAGTGAAAGAAAACTTAGAAAGAAAAAATGCAGTAGTTCATTTAGTAACAACGATGATTATAACATTTTAATAAACTTTTCAATTCTTCAGAATGAGCTTGTAAAATTTATTTTTTGTCCTAAATGTAAGAAAACAGTAACTTTATCAAACAATTTCAAAAAAAAAAAGGGATTTTCTTATCTTCTATGTTTGAATTGCACAAATTGTGACTGGAAATATGAATTTGAAAGCTCACAGAAAACAAATAAACCTACTTTAGGAAAAGCTGTAAGCTGCATTAATTATCAAATGGTTATAGCTTTTCGTGAGATTGGTCAAGGTTATCAGGGAATCCGTACATTTGCTAACATTATGAACATGCCAACACCATTATCATTTCCTGGATATCAATTAATAAATAATAAATTACATACTTTTTATAACGATGCAGCTTCAGAAAGCATGAGCAATGCAGCTTTAGAAACAAAGAGTTTACTTGCTACCAATACTTTTGATAACAATAGCATTACAAATTGCCAGGTCTCAGTTGATGGTACATGGCAAAAGCGTGGTTATTCGTCTATGAACGGTGTTGTAACTTTAATCTCAAGAGAAAATGGAAAGTGTTTAGACACAGCAGTTTTGTCCAAATATTGTAAAGGATGTGCCATGTGGAAAGGAAAAAAAAACAAACCAGGGTACCTGAACTGGCAAACAAATCATATCTGCCAAGCAAATCACAAAAAATCTTCAGGTTCTATGGAGGCTGCAGGTGCTATTTTAATGTTTTCTCGATCAATAAAAAATTATGGTTTGCGTTACACTTCATATATTGGTGATGGTGACACATCATCTTTTAATGAAGTCAAGTCTTCTAAACCATATGGAGAAGAAATAACAATCGAAAAATTAGAATGTGTTGGCCACGTTCAGAAGCGATTAGGTGCACGATGCCGCAGTTTGCTTCAAAGTATGAAGGGAAAAAAACTAAGTGATGGAAAAAAATTGAATGGGGCAGGAAGATTGACAGATAAAGTTATAAATAAACTTCAAAATTATTATGGAATGGCAATTAGGCAGAATAAACTATTATACCCAATGAAGAAATCTGTTTGGGCTGTGTTATTTCATAATAGTAATATAAGTAATCCCATCGAACGCCATCAATTCTGCCCTCAATCTAAAAACAGTTGGTGCTTGTGGCAAACAGATAGATTTAATGATCAAAACAAATACAAACCCATATTGAATATACCATTGTCAATCAAAGCTGTTCTTCTCCCAATTTTTCATGATCTTTCAAGTGATGAGTTACTTTCCAAATGTTTACACGGACAAACCCAAAACAACAATGAAGCTTTAAATTCTATAATATGGAAAAAATGCCCTAAAAATATTTTTGTTGGAAAAAAGGTTTTGGAGATTGGAGTTTCATCTGCAATACTACAGTTTAATGAAGGTGCTACTGGTATTTGCAAAGTTTTTGAACGTTTAAAAATTCCTGTCGGACAATTTATGAATAAAGGATTTATTAAAAAAAACAATGAACGAATCAGAAATATGAGGAGAAAATCATCAAAAAAAGGAATACAACAAAGAAAAATCCTTAAAAATATAAGAAAAGGTTACTCAGACATTGAAAATGAATTAGAAAAACTACCAGCTTATTCTATTGGTGGTTGGTAGTTGACTGTGAAAGTTTATTGGATTTTAAAACACGTTTTTTGCCATTTGAATATTTTCAATATACACGATTACGCAGAATTAAATATCTCAAGATCTAAAGGTGCAATTACAATGAAATTTTCAGGATGTATTCATGATACTCATATGCAGGAGTTGTACTAGAATTAAGGTCTAATACAAAATAGTTCATGAAATAATGCCAGATATGTCCCCCACCTGACACCCGCAGCTGGTTCAATAAGGTAAAATTGCCTTTACTCCTAAACTATATACATACAGTAGATGATTCTAGTACAACTCCTACATCATTATGGGACCTATGTTATTGTAAAGTTTTGGAGCAAATAAATGACCCTATCTTGAGATATTGCATTCTGCGTATTTTTCTTTATATGTGTTTTTAGATTTGGGTAAGCGAGGCAAAGAAAAATTTTTTGTTACAAATTATTTCAAAATTTGTATATTTTAGTTTTATATATATAAAACTTCTAATTAACAACTTTTTAATACTTTATTTAACATTTTAATAATAGCTTTAGTACCACCTTAATTTAGGTTTGTTATTAAAATCAGGTATATTGTAATCTGAAGGTAAAAAGTGATCACTACATATGCGGCTGTACTCAGTAGGAATAAATGTTTCACGTTTTATAGCAACAATCCACTTTTTACAGAGCTCGCTATTATTAATTGGAAATTTATGAAATGCTCTGTTGTCGTTTTTCATTGCTCTATTTGTGCAACCTGCTGCAGCACAAGAATTAACCATGATTTATAAATTATGAATATTAAATATCGAATATTATTTGATCCAAACAACCGTGATTTACTATTTTTTTAATTTGCCCCCCATAATGGTCGATTTTTGCTTCAAAAAATACGCGGAAGTTAGACATCGAATATATCATTGCTACTGTTTAAAAAAGCTCCTTAAAAAAAAAAGCTCCTTGGTGACAGCGGTCGTTCGTATAATAAGGTGCTTTTAAAGCGCATGCGTATCAACCGTTAGGTCTGCGATGTTTTCAAAATTCTACGAACTTTTAAAATTTTAAGAAAAACCTTTCATGGCATGTACATGCCGGAATAGTCTATACTTTCATAAAAAATGATCAAATATCTCATTAAAATTAAAAATAACATAACTATATTTTAATAGTAGCTATAGTTAACTACAACAGCGACAAATATATGTGAATAATAAGCTTACATTAATAACTTTACCTATTAACTATATCTTATATCAATAACCCTTGTCAATAAAAAGAATAACTGAAGACAGAAATAAATAATCAACGACAAGGTGCAACTTCACGACAATTACAAAAAAAAAGCAACAGACAATTATTAACCAATCATACAACTTTAGATATCTATAAGTCACTAATAAAAAAAAAATATGAACTTTTTAATTGTTAACTAAAATATAAGGTACATAAACAAACCAACAATAAAAAACAAAAAAAAAAAACATATTTATGTATATCAAGTATGCAAATAAATCATAAAAACAAAAGAAAAAGAGCAGCAAGATAACAGGATAAATTCACAACAATGATAAAACAAAAGCTACACCTTTTACTACAGTCTAATTTACCATTCTCAATACATTTCAGGTAATGTTGCCTCATATTTAATTATATAGTTTATTATAGATTATTTATATATATAGATTCTTATAGTTATATATAGTTATAATATATATATATATATATATATATATATATATATATATATATATATATATATATATATATATATATATATATATATATATATATATATATATATATATATATATATGGATATATAAGGATATATATATAAGGATATATATATGGATATATATATATATATATATATATATATATATATATATATATATATATATATATATATATATATATGGATATATATATGGATATATATATATATATATATATATATATATATATATATATATATATATATATATATATATATATATATATATATATATATATATATATATATATATATGTAAATTATGTTAGTATATTTTACAAATAGAGTGCTCGATGTTTTTTAAAAAAAAAAACATCGAGCACTCTATTTGTAAAATATAATAATGATTCCTGATGATCCAGCAATGGTGAAACTTAAAGTTGAAGAAAAAAGTTAGATAAGTGTTTTTTACTAATTTATATATATATATATTTATATATAAATAGTTATATATATTTTATATTATATTTAGTTATTGTATATATTATAAAATTATTATATAGTTACCATGGTTAGATATTTCTTATTTGTTATTTCTTTTTAATATTATTAGTACTATTTAATTAAATTTACCTTCCCAGGGCTCCAGAGAATCACTACAGTTAAGGAGGCTACTTAATTCTATGTATTTTTATATTAAATTTGCAACTATAAACATGAACCTAGTTAAACTAAGTCGCTGCACAGAAAAACAGGTTGAGAACAGTTTTTCCAGAGGATTTGAACATTTAAACCCTTTTTATTGTAAGAACTTTGGTTAAAAATTTAATGTATTTTAGGCGTAAAAAGAAGATAGTTTCTTCAGATGTTGAAGATAATGATGAACTTGAGGTTGATGTTATATGTAGAGGAAGTTCTTCAGATACACATACTTCAGAGTCTACTGAAAACGAAGAGCATGTTAATGATAAAACTAAAACTGTTGTTGTCAAAAGAAGCAAACGTGTAAATAGAGGAAAACAGAAAGCATCGCGGACCTGTCTTCCTGAAAAAGTTTTTCATAAAAAGTTTAAAGAAGAAGTCAGTTTTTTTTTTGTTGTTTTTTTTTAATATTTCAACTATTAAGTATATATTTCGCTGTTATTATTTCACTTATTAATATTTACTTATTACTTTAAATTGTTTTAACTTTTTAAAAGATATGCACCCACAAAGCTGTTCCTCTGCAAGAAGAATATTTGCAATTTCATCAGCCAACAGATTGGATTTTGGGTACCCATAGTAAAAAATTCCCATACTTTCCTCAAATTGGTGATGAGGTACTTTATTTATTTTTAAAGTACAATTTTGTTTAGATATTTTTTTTCTCACACATTTCAGGAATTTGGGATGTTTCTTTATAAACCATTTTTTCTTGATATCCAAGTAGTTTTCTGGAGATACAAGTAAAATATTTCTGTTTTGTCATTAAATAATTAAAACCGTAAAGGTATCGTTGATTAAATTATTTGAAGGCGTACATTTGTTAATAATATTAATTTAAAATTAATATATATTTTCACAATTTCAGCTAAAAATCTAGTGTATTTTTATTTAATTATATATATATTTCGAAGTTTTACCGATATTTTTAGGAAAAAATTTTCCTGATGTTTAAAATATGATTTGAATAATTCCTGTTTATTACCATAAAATATATCCTTTAATTTTAAACATTTGAAATTAAAAGATGTAAAATTTATAGACTTTTATATAGGTATAATATTATATTTTGTTGTTTGAAATATTTAGGTATATTATCTTCGCCAAGGTCATAAACTATATGTTAAGCAAGTTATTGAATTAAATGAGTATGAAATACAAGATTTGCATCAAGCTTATTGTAGATATGATTTAGCTGTTAGTTTTTTATAATTGTCTTTTTAAACTTTGTTAATATGTTAGTTATATACTAAGAAATATACTTTGGATTTTAGCCAGCAGAACTGTGCAAGTTAGTTGGTATTTCATATGATGTTCATCCTACAAAGTTGTGTTCTTTAAAACTAGGTAAAATTAAAGTTAGATGTACTTAGTTATAAATGAGTATAGGTTTTGTTTGTTTTTGTAGTTTTTATAACACTATTATGTATATTCAATGATTATTAATTTTGTAAATATTGGAAATTGTTTAATAGTATTCAAAAAATTCCAGGTACTGCTATTTTCATTGGTCACAATCTCAAAAAATTCAATTTATAGAAAAAAATATTTCACAGGAAGTTATGAATTATTATAATTAAAAATAAATTCTTATAAATACTATACTTTTTTGGTAAACGGGAAGTTAAAGTTTTCTTTGATGTTAACAGGGATCTTAAGTTTGGGTTTGATTTGAATAAAAAATAAAATTTGAATAAAATTCAAATCAAACCCAAACTAAAGATCCCTGTTAACATCAAAGATTAAATCAAAATTACCTAATAACAGTCAACCAGGAACATATATAATCAAATGCAACTGTTCAAAAGTGTATGTAGGCAAAACAAAAATGAAAGTAAACACAAGAATGCATCAACACCAAAAAAGCATTGATGAAAATAAGCAGCATCAATCTGCATTAGCTCTGCATAAAACATTTTGCAAAAAAGAAATTATTTGGGAACAAACAAAAACATTGAAAGTAGAAAATAAAAAATTTGAAAGAAAAGTTAGGGAAGCCCTAGAA